ATTGCAGGTATGTACTAACCTTCTATTTTCTCCTCCACCCAACAACAATTTATATAACAATTTATCTTTCCTGAAGATAATATCTTAAAACTAAGTGAACATTGACTGCACATTGCTTTTTTTTTTTTTTTATCACGCAAACAAAGAAAAACTCAAAGGCCTGTTGTAAATGCCAATGTTATGTTTTATTTTTAATCAAGTAATTCTTTTAAACCTCACAATATCCATGACTGACAGGAAAAAAAAGACATTAGGCATGAAATGAGAATATAAAATACATGATATGTAGAAAGGCAATCAGTGCTTTAGTCCCTCAAGACAGTAAACAGGTGAAATGACCTTCAAAACTTCAACTCACATGTCTTTTTTTAAAACATAAAATTCAAGTGATTTTTCTTTAATTTCACCTTGTAAACAACATACAAGTCAAAATGGACAATGAGGTAATCTATACTACAGAAGATAATTTAAAAACACTAGATAAGACACAGTATTAAAGACATATAGAAATCAGTGTTCACTTTGGTCTCTAGTATGGTTATTGTTATTATTACCACAAGCAACACATACTAGTTTAAGCCAGTCTGGTGATGTTTGTCAGCCAGTTGTTGCTTAATTTAGTAATCCAAGAGGTAGTCAAAACCATTATCCTTTGTAAAGCTGGTTGCTCTTACATTTGGTTCAACGACAATGGTAGCAAATACCTTGGTACTTTTCAACATTCTTATAAAAACACTACCAAAGCTGCTAATTTACAGCTCTGTTTTAGCATAAAAAAAGACGTGTGTGTTCATAGATCAACCTCTTGTTATTACTCAAGGGTTGTAACAGGGGTAACACACAACCAACGTATCTTAAAGAAGAGGCTGTTGATATACTCAGCAAAATTAGATTGATGCATTTAACAAGGCTCTGCTTGTTTCTAAAACAATACTCAAATCTCATTAAGACTTCTAGAAAATTAAAATCAGTGCATCTGCACATGTACACATCTTCCCAATTACTTTTATATCTAGCACAGGGGAATACATATATATTTTTTTTATGATAAACATTTCTTACAGATAAATTAATTAAATTAAATTTAAGACTCAATGAGATTTCCCATGTTCTTTTATAATTCTTCTTACAAAGAATGTTACAAGATCTATAAACACTTTTTATGGGGCTCTATTCACAAAACTATGTATGACTAAGCAGGAACTTCAGGATAACACTGGCGCAGAACAAAACTGGGCTGGAAAAGGTGGCCTACAAAGGGAAAAGGTAGGAGTCAAGTATGTTGTTTGGCACTCCCTGAAAGCTAGCTAAAAGCAAAATACTGCAGATGGTATTATAATGCCAGACTTACAATTAGCTACAGCAAAAAAAGTTATTTGGCTCTTCCTCCAAATATCAATCTTCCCCATGGCTCACTTTTTGTAGTGTGGAAATAAATACCATTAACTCTCCTTGGGGAAGAATATAAATATCTCACAATGTCCCTTATGATTAAATCAAATTGAGTTTTTTGGAGTGAGGGGTTGGGAGGGAGAGCTCTCTTGTTACAGGTTTAAGCCTATCTCCAGTACTGCTTGGAGAAAAACACATCCCTCTGAGCTGATACTTGAATTACCTCTGCTCAAGCAAGTTGTATTGGGAGGCATTCTGGCAAGGACAGGCTGGTGAATAAGGGAAATCAAGGCTGAGCCAATGCTGTAGCATAAGAAGGAAGAATCCCGAACTCAGGTCTGCATCTCCTCCTTTAAAGTGTTCTTTGCTTATTTGGAGCAGCCTATTGAAGGAGTATCATTAGATTTTTATTTTATTTTTTTCTACTGCAGCTCAGTGCTAAGTAGTTACCTGCCACAGCTTGCGCTGCTGTGTTTAACTTAGGCATGTATATTTTTTGTCTGTTTCGGAGATGTATTTATTTTTGTGAACAGTGCCCATACTCCTTTAGACAGAAACATAAAAAACTTCTAAAGAAATGTTTGGAAACTTCTCATAATTTCAGATGGATGCTTCATCTTAAACAAGTATTTGCCATAACCTATGCAGTGGTGAATTATCAGTTACATATTCAGTACAGATAAATAGCATGTACCATAGATCAACAGCCACCTTTAAGGCCAGAGCAGCACAAAGGTGTGTTTATGCAGTAAATATGAGGTAGCCTTTTGCTGTAAACAGAATAATAATTTTATTGTCACCTATGTAAACAAAGTGGGCTTGATGCTTTTGTGTTTTTTTTGTGTTTTTTTTTTTTTTTTCTCTTTCCCCTCCACCCCCCATCCCTCCCCTTCTAGAAAAGCTAAGCACCAGTAACTCCAACTGGAAGTCAATGGGAGCTGCGGTTGCCCAGCATCTCTGAAAACTCAGACCCTGTGAATGTAAAGATACGTATGCTCACATAAGCAACCAGTACAGAATACCACTTTTTCATTTCACAGGAACTTATAATACAAAACGCTGAAATCTGATTATCACAAATGTAGGTCTATGTCAACTCAGAGGTAGTTACTAATATCAGTACATAATACTTATATAGAGATAAAAAGGGCTAAGTCTATTTGGTTTGTTCTGAGTAAGCAGGTCGGTAGACTATTCTGTAAAGTAAAAACAACATCACATGGTATATTCCCTGAGCAAAGTTCTTTGTCCTGAGTATGTTATGTAATAGTGATAACATTCTAATATATAAAAATAAAACCTTAAGCTTTCAACAATAAGATAGGGTTTGGTATGTGCTCTTTGCAGTTCAGTCTGACTTTGGTGCACACTGATTTCAAACAGCACCAATAAAAATCTGCACGTTGAAAATATTTTCTCATCTCAGCTCTGAACTTCTTACATATAAACAGGGAATGACCAGTTTTCAAATCCGCAATTGCCTATTTCTATAAGGAACTTTGGTTTAAATTTTTCAAAGTGACCTAAGTTTTGCATCTTTGCTGTTTAACCTGGTTTTTACACCGGCTAGAAGGTTAAGCAATGCCACTTTGATTTGTCTACATAATTTAAATAAGTTTACTATCCTTACGTAAGGCAAGGAAGTTCTTCTCTATAGATATATCACATTCAATATCGTCAAAGGTAAGCTTTGCATTAGCATACTGAGAACTTCAGTATAAACCATCGAGATTCTCGCAAACACTGGCAAGGAATTCACACAAAATAATGCTCTGGAAAATTGTGCCCTTCGCTGAGGCTTTTGATTATAACCTGTTTACTGAAGCAGCAGCAGCAGCAACAGTAAAAGTCTCAACCTGGGAGGACAAGTGGGAAGGGGAGGGCCACGCAACGAGCCAGCTGCCTACCTGTTGTGACTGTCGGCTGCGAGAGTTACCGCAGACAGGGCTTGGGCTCACCGTAGCCTTTCATGCAGGCTTGGTTCTCCAGTTTGATTATCTGAGCTTAAACCTACCTGACTCCTTCAAGCTTTAACAGCCTGTGTTTATTGCCAATGCTAAGGATTATACAAGTTTCTCTAATTAACTTACATCTGCAATGGGATTTGTCAAAGTATGTTATCGTACGTATGACTTGGTAATGTAGACGTTTCAAATGGAAAGCGACTTGAAGTTTTGCTAGGCTCCAACTCTATTAACCCCAAGCAAAGGCTGCAGCCCAGGGAGTCTCACTCTGAGGCCACCAATCTTTCTCTTTAATGCACAAGTGTGTGGTCCCAGCACACACCAGACCATGGCTGGTCAGCAGCAGTCTCCTGTTCACAAGAAGCTGATGATGCCCAGGGCAGGCTTGCAGGTGCCTTCACTAAGGCTCATCTGCAGCAGGCACCTGTCCTTTAATGAACATGTGCAGTATCATCAGGGTGAGAGGCCTGGCTGAGCAACCACGAGTACCCATCTACCTTTATTCTCAAGAAACTTTTTATCCCAGGATCTTAATAGCTTTGCATTTTGTTTTCTTTAAAAAAACAAAACAGACAACCACAACAACAACAACAACAAAATCCCTAAGGAATTCTCTCCACGTCATTTCAACAGTAAACGAGGGGGAAGCCCCTTCAAATTCAGGGGCACTACTCGGGACCAAGAGAAGTTGCTGCTGCTGCTGCTGCTACTACTGCCACCAAGGTCCCCTAAATGTTCACAGAATACAAAGGGTGAAGCAGGATGGTATCCTGATACCACTCAAAAGGGTTTGTTTGCTCTTTAACAACTTACACAGTCTCCCCTACACAACGGTCATCTAAATTACAGTTACACCCATATTAATTTAACAAAACATTTTGAGAAACCAGCACAGAAACTACACATTCATTGTCTTTTCTGGAGCTATTAACTCCTTACCAACAAAGGATGGTGGTGATGAGAGCCATGCTTAGTCGTGACACTGCCCTTCACAGGCATGGGGGGTGGAGGGGTGGGAAGTGGGGAAGTGATGCTTTGTAGAGAGGGAAAGAAAATAACTCAAATTGATGGTGTGGGGGATGTCTTAGTATCTTTAGTACCATATGGCAGCTTTAAAATATGAACGTATCCTTTGGTTCACAAGAGAAGTAACAGTCTTGATCTCAGTTCTGTGTGTGGTTTTTCAGGTGTTTTTGTTTCTGTTTGGTGAGATTTCTTGGGTTTTCTTGTTTGTTTTTGGTTTTTTTTTGAACGTGTTTGAAAACCGATTCTAGGAATGAGTTCAGCAACATTTACGGGTACTGTGTCTATTGCTTCACAGTAATGTATTGTGGGATCTGGAGAGTGTTCTGATGGAAAAAATATATATTCATAGATATGCAGACACACGCGCGCGTGCACACTCATACACACATATACAGAAGGTAAAACGTAACGCACCCTGCTCAAATGTATTTTGCTTGGAGTGATTTGTCTATTAAAGAAAAAAAAAATTCACAGTTCCTCAACAGTAGTTAAAATTCCAGGTCAGCTACTGATAATGAAATTATTTCCCCTGTACTTGCATGAGGTAGACATCCCGAGAGGATAAAGAAAATGGAAAGTTATGAAAAATGCTTTAAGTTTTTTTCCTTTTCTGAACAGAAGGCCCCTTTCTGCTTGGTTCTTCGGGTGATGCAGATAACTTACTTGAAGAAGCTTCTTGTGGTGACCTGCCTGAACGCTCTGAGATCTCTGACCTTCCCTCCTGAGAATATGATGGAGACGAATAGCCGTACGTTCCTCCCCCTTCTCTCAGGAAAGCAGAAGTGGAAGGCTGTGGTTCAGCTTCATGTCTTCCCTGAGAACTAGTGGGCTGTTGCGAAACAGTTTTATGGGGGCAGTTAGCCACCATGTGCATGATGCTCTGACAGTAATGGCACTTCTTTGGCTGTGGAGGTAGGCTGCATTCTTTAGCGTGGTGATCAAGGCCACCACAGTTGTAGCATCTAAAAATGAAAAGAGACAGCTGGTTATAAAATGTAGCATCAGACTGTAAGATTTTCTGTGTGTCAGAAGCTGACTGTGCACTTGGTCTGTTGGTGAGACAGCAGGAGCTTCTGCGACAATATCCCATTGCCACAGACAAATATATATGTGAGTTTTGCTTTTTAAGTAATGCACCTGGAATGTGCCCCTACGTCACACCTGGTGCCAAAAAATACCTCTTACTTAGGAATAGATTCTGTTACTATCATCCTCATCAGTATCTTGCTACAAAAACCCTTGGTACTGCTTGAAAGTAAAGACCACTCTGAAACAGATCCTCACACGTTTTCAGCGGGACCTTTCTACTGACTGCCAAGAGCCAAATCGGAAGCATTTGCAGATGTAGGCAGGTGCCTAACCACGCTTTCGTGACAGCCTTTGGGATGCCTCACTGCCCTCAGCAGTAAGACGAGCCTGTGCAGCATCGGGACAATGCTGCGAGGGTCCCACCAGTCACCAGCACCATACAACTACATCAGAAAACCCCGCTGCACTGGGATTTCCACCAATTCCACAATGCCAGGAGGCTAAAATTTTCAATATAAAACCTCTCAAAACAGACAGAAAACCCCCAACCACCCCTACCCTGCTGGCTCTCCCCAAAGGAGGGATGATGCTGGGGTTCAGCCAGCCTCGGCCCCGCTAGAGGGCACCAAATATTCACAGATCCCGACGCCGCTGCCCTGGCAAGCATCGCTTCTTGCTCAAGTATTTATAGCATTAAACCCCCGTGGGCGCTAGTATTTCAAATGCCTGGCAGGACTAACATTTCAAAGCCGGGTGGGGAGGAGGCAGCCGCCAGGGCCGACCTCTTCAGCCAGGGGTGGGCTTCACCCTGTGAGTCGCTGGGTTGAGGCCGTAAAGAAACGCGTAGGGAGAAGAGATTTGGCTTTCCCTAAGGAAGTTGCCTCGGACTTCACCACGTCTTCAAGTGCTCCAAAAAGCTCTTTGGGCACGTAAAAGATCTCGCCCAGAAACTTTGCCTCTTCTGGCTCCGTTAAGGCACGCCAAGGGAAGGGTGGGGGCTGAGCTTTTACAATGCTTATGTTTCAGAGGGTCAGGAATGGCTTTTATGGTTTCAATTCAAAACAAAATGAGTAAAGCCCTAGCAAGAGTCATAAAACAGGGTTTGTTTGTTTTCTCTTGAAATTCTCAAACCACATGCAAGTGGTGGTGACCCTGGGTGTCATCTTCAAAAGCAGGGCTGCCCAGAAGCAGACAAACGGCAGAGCACCTCTTCCAAGCGCCACAGGCAAGACCTTTTCGCCAAGTCTTTAAAATGGCCCAAATGTAAACACTCCTGTGTTAATCTTATTATCAAGGGGAATCATGGAGAAATCCAACAATTCCTTACTGAATACTTTTACTTTGTAACACACACACCAGGAACTTAAATCATTGACTTACATCAGTCTAACACTTGATACAGAACAATAATTACCTGATGATCCTATGCTGATCACATCCATCACTTTTTATTTTGGCTATTTTTCTACGGTGTCTGTTTCTCTGTATTACAAATGTTTGCACCAAATGTGTACGGATTAAATCTATTACAATCTAGCATTCCACTGAAGAGAACTAACCCCATAATGACAATTTGTTTTTGCTTCCCCTTAACTATATGAACTAATTAAAAAAAACAGTTGCAAACACCCATGCCTAGTAGACTGGATTGAAGGACTCAAGACAACTACATGTGCAAGCAACTGTATGTATAAAACAATGCAATGTGCTTTGGCTCAAGCCCCCATCAAAATTTTCAGGACTCCTGGAAAGCAACAAAGCCCTGTTTTGAGCTAGCAGTTAGTGATCTGTCCTGGCTCTGTCCCCTCCTGGCTTGTGGTGCTTAGCTGCCTGCCGGGTTAAACCACAACGTGATCGCTGTTAGTCTACACACAACACAGATGTTTAGCCCATGCAAAGCCGTATGTATAGCTGTAGTCTCAATTACAGAATATACATTGTCTACACAAAAATGTTCTTGATAAAACCTGTGTAGTTTATAGAAAGGTTACAAAATGGCTGTGAACGTTTGCAAATTCCATCCAAGAAAAAATCCCTGAGAAACTCCCTCTCAATATTTCTTTTTCTCCATTAGCAAGATACTAACCATATCTTTCTTTTAATAGACGAATGAAAAAAAAAGAAAGCATAAGTTGCCCATGGCATGTTGTCATATTCCCCAAGACTGATTTATAATTTAAAGAAGCTAAATGATACACAGAACTTCATTATCCCTTCAGAAAACATTATAATTAAATTGTCATATCTTCCCTAAAAATTAATAACAAACAAGAAACCAAAGCCATTACACTGAACTCTGCACTTTTTATGACAACTGCAATAATATATTTTAGGTGAACTGGTTCCATTTTTATGTCACCAGTGCACATAATTTTTATTTGATTTTCAGTGGAATTTGAAGACTATGCCTATACTAGTCTGCCTGCATATAGCATGAAATAACCCATGAAGAGATAAAGTATATAAAGCTCCGCTTGAATGAAAAAGAAAATACTGTACAAGCCCCATTGTCTTTAGAATGATCTCCCTAGCAAGGCAATACTAAGTATGTTGTAAAATATGAACATCCTGATTTAAGACCAAAACATTATATTTTAGGGAAAAAAAAGCTTGATAAACTTCCAGTTAATGAACACTGTCAATCTGATTACTTTTTTTCCATATCATTACAGGTATTTTCAAATTAGTGACCTCCCGTTTAACAGCAGCATTCAGCTATGTCTCCCTGACAAGTTTACTAAACATCTTTTGGATAAAATAATAAGAAAGTAAAACTTGCTATTAGAGAAAAAAAAAAAAGAAAAAAAATGAAAAACAAACAACAAGAACAGCAAACAAAAAGAACAAAACCCCTGAAGTATTTTACTTTCTCTGCCTCCAATAAATACACCTAGGACTTCACAAATGTGGTATTCATTATAATGCAGGTTATATTAAAGAATGGTGTTTATTAGTATCTTCCACATCTGTTTCTAGCAGTGTACTCATTCCTAAGCTTTTTATCTAAGATGGTGTAATATAGTATCACATGGGAGTGAACAGACATTTTGGGAATCGTGCATTTTAACTTAATCCAGAACCAGAATATAGAATTTTATAGCTGTGAATGCATTTGTGCTGGCTCCCTTCCCTAACAACACATTTACTTAGAATCGTTATTTTTTAAAAAAAAAAAAAAAGTTTGAAAATAGGTTAAAGGGCTTCAGTAGGAGAGGAGGCGGTAGCCATGGACAAATCAATTTAATCAGTCACTATGGTATGCACTGTGTTATCCAATTCACTGAACCATTTCACCTCACCAATTGACCAAGAACCTGCTGTCAGAGCCCCTGCTTCCACTCAAGAGGCCTCCGTCACCTTTTGCATATATATTCATCAATACATCCTACTTGCAAAATATTGTAATTCCCTGCATTTATTCAAATCACTTGTAAAATGTCACTGTAAAAATAAAATTCTACCAGGAGCAGTTGTAATTAAACTATGATTTGGCTTTTCAGGAATGTTTCTTGTGACTAACCAACCCAAGCATCTGGCTATAGTATCTCATTAGAATATATATGTGCCAGCCTGGGTGTGCCTGGACTTAAACAGGAGGGTGGTATTCACTCGCTTCTTTTAACTATTTATTCACTCCTTGTCAATCACTCTTACCAGGAGAAGAGATCACACCCCGCTCTGAAATGCCTTCCCTCTCAAGGGATTTACACCAAAATGGAAATGGTCAGCCACCTCAGGAGCTCACAAATGACACCACATGGCAGCATCCACGCACATTAAGGTATGGTGTTAAACCCTTTTGTCCAAAAGGCTTCAGCTCTTTGCTTGCCTCTGCTCCATAAACCTACATTACAACATAATGAAAATTGATAATGCATGATACGCACACACAGGTTTATATAGCTACATCTATATACACATAAATATGAAGAACTCTACACAAATTGGCTCCTGCTAAGAAAATTAGCAAATTCTCATTTAATAACGTTTTCAGAAACTCTAGGTGAGTACAACTATACTAAATACAAGTGTTTACAACATAAAGCATCATAGATAATTTACATCATGAGATGGGTAAAACATAAAAAGCCCTTAAAAGTTCAGTGATAGTATAAGTAACCCTTAGAGAAACAAAACAGCAAGAAAGGTTTACTAAAAAAGGAATATCTTCTCACAGAAGGCTCTCATTATTTACTGGGTAGCTTCAGGCTCAAAAAATAATGCAACAAAATAAACAAAGAGATGGCAGGTACCCTGAAGGGGAATCCTTTCTTTGTTAGGGCACTGGTGGGAAGGTGGATCAGGACTGTTTTGTGGTATAAAAATGATGAACATGTAAATGAAGGAATACCTTGAGCAATTTACCTAATATTGTATTTCAGTATACTCCAGAAAACAGTAGCATTAATACCTACTAACAAAGAAAGAGTATACTGCAAGGTTAAAAATACTTCTATATCCTCCTTTACTATGGATTCGTGATTACACAGAACTAGACGTATTAGTGGAAATAGATGAACAAGCAAGAAGCGTACAGATTCCAACACAAACCATGCTGCAGTAATTACAATAAGCTGATGGCTGAAATTCATTACAAGTACTCAAATTCCCAACCAAATGCAAACACAAAATAAAATACCCTCTAGTCTTCAGCTGTTTTTTATTGTCCCAGCAGTCGCCTCGTTTCATAGTTAGGAAGCATTCCCTAGCCCCAGCACTCTTAAAATGACGACACAACTGTCTCGCAAACACATTCCCCGCAACAGCTCAGCTGAGCTAAGCAGTAAGGAGGGTAAGGACAACTGCTTGCTTCTTCATGCTGCTTCATAATATGATTTGGATGATAATCCAATATATATGACAAGGAGAGAATCATTTGTATGGCTCCACGCTATTATCCGTTGGGAGAAAAAGCTTTAGAATTGCTCTAATGACTGACTTTTTCTTGGGGGTGGTGGTTTTAACATCTGACAGGGATAGCAAAGGGATGTAGTCAGAGAAATAATTCACCAAGATAGGCCCTGCACCAGCTCCCTTTTTGTTTTTCCTTTCTGAATGCTATCGGAGAACAAAACCCCACATCTTGGTGAACAATGCTTCATCCAGCAGTTTAAATGCTTTGAAAAATGGCCTGGTTTGCTAACAGCATGTGCAAGCGTGATGTTTTTACAACATGCTGAATGCCAACGCAGCAGCTAAAGCAGAGAATAATTACGAGGAAATGTCTCAAGTTGTACCTAAATATGCTGTCTCTTTTAGTCACTGCTTTCACCACAACGCAAAGGGAGGCTGGTTCTTGCAAACAGCACACGCAGCAGACTGCTTGATCTACCCCCTTCTGCCGTGAAGGCAGCTTCAGCTACGCCCAATCTAAGAGGTTTTAGACAAAAAGAGGATGTTTTACTCTTCAAGGGCCTCAGAGGCTTCAGCCGTGAAAGGCAGGCCGCGGGTGCAGGGAAGCTCAGGCAGGTGCATGCTTGGCCTGTGCCTGGCCACGCAGGGTTAGAAGCACGCCGGAAGGGCTGGCAGAGGTTTCTGACTGAAATTTTCCTCAGGAGAAGCACAAATATATTTTAATAGATTAATGGAATATTCCAGGGACCAAGTAAATCCTGGATAGCAAATCTCTCACATCATCTCTCCCAAGGCTGACAGCATCACCAGTGGCTGCATGCTGACAGGGCACCTCTCGTACCTTACTGCATTATAAAAGGACTGATCACACGTGCAGCAGCAGCGTGTTGCAGTGGGGCTGTTGGGGACCCCAGGCACCCCATGCAGTGGCCAGCACTCCTCAGGCATTTCCCTCCTTCCTCAGCTGCATTTCGAGGGGATTCCCTTGCAGCCATTGTTTTGGGAGAAGGTTGTTCCCGCCTCGAGAAGCATTAAATCTCAGGGGAAATAATGCTGGCTGGTATTTTTTAAAGCAGCACAGGGCAGGAAGGAGCCT